ACAGGATCTTTTATCTAGGACGAAAAAAGCCAAATTCAGGACAGTATTTCACAAACTCATTCAGTACTTTGAAAGGCGGGGAGCCAATAACGAACATCTATCCAATGAAAGGTTACATTCAAGTCGACCAAACGAAGCCAGTGGCAGCGTCCATGCAATTGAAAGCGTTTAATGGCATGGATTCTCCGACGACGGGCAAGCAAGAAAAACGCGCATGGGACGATTATGGACTCGGCGGAGGACGATATGGAAAGCGAGAGTGGAAAGACGGAACATCAGGATTAACACTCACTCAAGACGCAACCAAGCACTCGAATGGGAATACTAACTCGAAACGTTCTGATATTTACTGGCTCGCGGGTGGGCGCTTTGGACGTGACGTCAGCCATGTGACAGATCACGTGGACCCCGAAAATGATGACGATATCGAAAACTGAAAGCAGAAACTGCTTGCGCATACCGTTCCGCAAGAAAACCGTCTCCTTAACCGCTGTATTGTTTTTAGAGATTTCTGTTTATTACAGATAATTGAAATCAAAAGCTTTCGCCACCATGCAGTATTCAACGAAATCGATGTTTCCTCTTCAGTGATTTTCAAGATTTGTTTTGACACTTCAAAGCAACGCTTTTAGTGGATATTAACCGTATTAGCCACACTGTCACTTGACTGAACATTTGATGCAGTAAATCATCTTGGCTAAAAATTGCAATTGCTAGCTTTTTTTGGGCCTTACTCTGCCCTACACAGGAGCAATACCAGTAGATAGTGAATATTTGATTGATTTCGTTCTTATTTTAGTCATTCTCGTAACTGAACAGAATTAAGGTAAAGTCCTGTCAAATCTAAAAATAAACTGTTTCTGCTGAATAACATGCATGTTGTCCTGTGGTTTTCTAAGATTTAAGATATATCCTAGACGAGCTGTGAGAAAGCACATGCCTTTGTCAAGAAAAATAAGTAGGCCCTACTATACATCAATCCAGATTTCATTGGTCATTTAAAATCTGCCTCTTGAACATAACGTTGAATTACAAGTGGGATACAGAAACCACCCAACAACCTTAAGAGCAATGAGGGCAAATAAATAGAAGAAAATATGTCAGTGATTTTAGCTATTCATTGCTTAAAGATAAGCAACAATAGATATGGAAATAAAGTTTAACAAATATACCGAAAAATCAATGTAAGCTTCTTTAGTAAATGGAAGTTTATACGAAGTTAATAACCAACGGTAGATACGTCAAACTTTACAAACTGTCTCTTATTCATTAAATTTCTACATGCTTAAATTTAGACTACACGGCTTATATGAGCATTTGGAATATAGCAGATAAAAATAAAAATTAACAGAAATACAAATAAAGCGTCAGCAGCTTTGAAATTCAAATTAAATTGCCCCCTTTAGGCGGACATTAGGATAGGAAACACGCTTGGTGATTACACGTTTTTTATTCAATACAATTTGTCGTTTGAAAATATATTTTACACCAGGGAATTAATAAATGCGTCATCTGTCATTTCTTGAATATAATCCTTTCTCAAATCACTCCTCAGGGAGGAAGGCGCCTCCGAGCGCTGATATACCTGCTGATTAGAGACAAATACATTGAAAATTGTGACAAGACATTGCAACACTTAACCCTGTCCTAATGTAGACAGGTGGCATTTCTTATTATCAGCCTCCAATCTTGTATCAATTTTGTAATGTGGGTTTTCACTATTCCCCAAAGTTACAAATAACTGTCGACAGGTGATTTAGGGCCTGACATTTTTTGCAAGCTATGAATCTCTGTTTATATTCAAAACGGTGCTGTGCTGTTATGCCTACGTTAAAAATTGTCTGCGTTGTGGTGCGGTTTCATTTACGGGCATTCTCGGACGAGTATTTCTAGGTTAAAAACCTTAGCAGCATTGCAGTTATTGTTGATGGTGTTGATGTCAGCATATGGATTATTTACAACCTCGTGTAACTTCATCTAAGTCTTATCTTTGAAATATGAATCTTTGAATCTTTGAAACAGAGAATTATTGAACAGTCACTGTTCTCAAAACATGTAATCACTTTAAAAGCACGCAATGCGCTAAAACTTCATGCAGCAAAAAGAAATAATTTTCTGGGAAATACATAAATATTTTGGTAATTTAGGGAGTGAATACTGAAAATCGTTTATATGAAGCGGGTCCAAGTATAACGTTTTCTGTTTTGAAAGCATAATTGCAACTTACAAAGATTTCTTGAGTTTATCTTCTTTGACCCTGAGCTTTATGCATGCAAGTAACACGACCATCCAGAACTGATTTGGGCAACGTCAGGCCTTCCCAACTACCAGACTCGGCACCTACGGGTCCAGTATAAACCGGTTTATCAGACCACACTACCCGTTTTCAAGGTGTGTGTCAGATCGCATTACAGAGTATCAGCCACCACACCGATTTTGCCAGGTGCGCGATGTGATAGCAATGATCCTAAGCGGGGTTGGAAAGTAGTGCATCTCATCTAGATTCATGCGCTGCTGCAATTTTCTGTTTATGCTCAAATCTGACAGTACCGCAATTTTTAACATAAAATTTAGGTTCGGACATAGCCATTGATGTTTTGTAAATAAGAACTTGCAAACTTATATATTAATTTAGAAAAGTATACCTAATTTTGATAGCAGAAGCATATTCTGTCGGGGGTTAAATATTCTTGTGACTACCGGGATGGACGAGATTGAGGGCAGGGGTAATCCTAGAGAGGGGTGAGAAACGTCCATTGTTCTCGTCAGCGAGGCTGTCCTTTTTCAGGGTTTGTACGCACGGACAGAAAACTTAAGTATTGTGGGAACGTTACTAATGAAGCCACTGGTAGTACTAGTAGATATCAGCCTGTAGTCTTGAACAAGCGCCTCGATGACGAGTGAACAGTTTTCAAAAACAAAAGACCCAGGTGTGGTAGTTCAACTACTGTTGATGCGTGCCGCAACGACCAAACCTAATTGCTCCTCAAGGTCACAAAACAATAACCGGTACTGACGGCTAGGCTCGTCTTAATCATATAAGTAGCGCGTTTCCACCCCCTGATTGAGGGAGTCGTCTGTTGTATTCATGCGACTCCTACTTGACGAAAACGAGGCGCGATACCCGGATGACAGGTAGGCTTACAGAATTTGTGGTAGGGTATGATACTCTTTTATGCGATCTGACACACACCTTGAAAACGGGTAGTGTGGTCAGATATACCGGTTTATTCTGGACCCGTAGGTGCCGAGTCTGGTAGTTGGGAAGGCCTGAACGTTTTAAAGATTTATTCAAATATTCATTGTCGCTCATTGAGTTTAAGATTTAGATTTGATACCGACAATGAATTGCCTTTTTGTTTGTAGTATCAATACGTCTTGTCCAAGTAAGTTTCAATGGGTAGGCCTATATTATATTGTTGAAAGCTGATAAAATGCCCCTTCCCGATGTCTTCTGAAACAAAAAAAAAAAATACATCGACACACCCATATACTGTACATGTATTTAAAAAAAAACATGCATAATTTTCACTTTTCTTTATTTTTTTATTATCAATGTGCTTGTCAGGTTGTTCTATTGTAAATGCTCCACAATAAATGATTACTATTAATACAATCCCCTGAAAAGAAGATGAAAATATAATTTCCTGTATAACAAAGAACAAAGTTGCACTGGCCCGGTGGACGTCAGCAATTCATTGTGACAACAGCGTGTTGTCCATGATTGCGATAGAGAAGTTGCCCTTGAATCCGAGAAACAACCACGTCTATTATACGAATGGTATGTTACCAATACGTGACCTGGCCCGGGTTCTTGGTACACACACGCGCGTGCGCACATACACACATACTACACACATACACACTCACACACACATTCAGCAGTCAACCGGGGGCGGCAATAAATAGTCCCTTTTTTCCATAAATTCATGATATCATCATCATCATCATCATCATCTTCAAAAGAATCATTTCAAATTCAGACTACTCCAAAATCCTACTCCACTGCATAAGCTGTTATAAATATCTTTACTGACTTTGACGTGATTTATTCACAAGAACAACACTTTTTCTGACAAAAATAAGTAATAAAAATGACAGTGGTTTAGTTATCTATTTTGATATTCCTGTCAATTTGAACATATCAAATATGCTTATTGTCCCTTTCGAATGTTAAGAATAGTTTCCGTTAGAGTGCAGCTGGCATAGTCTTGTTTAATTGCCTGATGACTTGGAAAATGTCGACAAACACTTTTCAATATTTCACAGTACAGAAAATCCCACATATCAGCGACAAGCTGACACAGGCACAACGCATGAACCCAAAATGAAACGATGGCGACCTTCTACCTTGAACCAACGTAGATTTGAGGAGAAAATATAACGCATGCAATATTTGTAGCATTAAGCGCCTACACCACATGCCACTAAACCGTAAAATAATACAATGAACTCTTTAGTCAAAATACAACGGTGCAACACCAAATGAGTTTCGAAATTCTGTTTCATATCCTGTCATCATTTACCCTCTTGTACATAGTCCAAATGGTCGATTTCTTAAGGATACATGTGTATAGAATTGTTTCATCATTTGTTAATTGTCTTTGATTAAAATAATGCTACATGTACTTAACAAGACCCCCGCCCTTGTAGTTATTCATTTATTTTCTATTTTGTCGTCGATGTTGGCCCTTTTAGTTGGAAGATATTTTAAATGTCAGTTATGTACAATATTAGACGACTTACACAATAAAAGTTAGTATCTAGTGCAGAAAAGGTAAAATGGAGAGACAGCCAAACACTAGGTGGAAATACCGTCTATAGCGACTATACCGCATATATATAGCGCCCATGAAGCAGAAACCGGTCAAAAAAGCTAACGAGATCTGGCAGAACTCGCTGAGATCGCACTGTGAGCGCGAACAGTTCTCAGCGGTCCATATAGATATTATTGACGTGCAACCATGACGTGAGGAGGTTTTATTAGAGCGATGAATCACTAACCCTGCGAGAGGGAGTGATGTATCGTTAGTTTTGCACACCTGTCACTGCGGCCATGTGACTAGCGGATTTTGATAGCTGGGCTCAGAGGAAGTTTACGGAAATACTAGCCGTGTCCGGTCCTGCGTCTGGTGACCGGGAGAGGCAGGGGCAGCTGGGCAGGGGAATACAATATGCTTTAACTTAAGCCTAGATTCTATAAGGCATACCTTGCAGGTAAGACCACTGAAACTTCCCGTGGTGAATTCTGAGAAAGGGTGTGCTTTAGCATTCGGCATCTTCAGGTGATGTGATCCTATTTATAAAGGTCAAGTTTTCGTAGATGAGGCATAATTCTAGACGGAAAAAAAATTGGTTAAAATAATATCCATTAAATTGTTGAAGTAATTGGCTGGCTTGCTTCAAACAGTATAAGAAATTAATGGCTATTTATTTTAAGACAATCCGTTTCGTAAAAATGATTATTTCTTTTCTTTGTGGCATTTTTGCCTTGCCTTTTACCTATTATGCAGGGGTGAGTGCAGCGACCACTTCAGAATGATGAACTTAACAACACATGTCTGTTACCTATATAACGAGATATATATTTTGGGGCTTCTGAACTTTAGATAGCCGTGTATGTTTAGATGTTTATAAGATCGGTCGTGCTGATCAGTTTTTCCTGAACTAACATAAATTGATCTGATTTCCATTAACATCTATATAGCTACATATTACAGCCTTACAAACTGACCATCCCTCCATACCGACAGATAGATATACAAGGTTGTATTGTGGTGTTTTTCCCTACTGTGGGTTACTGCGAGTCGGAACGTGGCTTAAGGATAAAAGACTTAATTGTGGCCGGTGAACTTCAACCAGAAAAAGGATGAACTGAATCACGTGCGGAGGTCAGACAAAATCCAGTAGGTATTCAGTTGGGCAGAATACGGCCATCTATTTATTTAGCTAGCGGATGCTTGACATATTGAATGAATGGGCAAGATTAAAAGCTGAATATATAATTCTTTTACTGTAACTGTCTGCATGTATGTAGAACAGAACAGCTGTTTGCACAGGTGGACGTCCAAAGGTCGTCCAGGTAACATAAGCTGGGAGGATTTTTTCTTTCAATTGCATTTGTCACTCAATCACTGAACTAAATTCCATGAAAACAAAATCGAAAACTGTTACATAATTATGTTGCAGTGTGTGGGTTTTACTTGGCAACGGCTGTCGGCTAAAGCCTATTTCATGATAACCTTTCCAAGACATACATGCACTGAAAGGATTTTTTTTACCTTTTACATAAACGAGGAAAGTCACAATTTGCCTTTGTGATGCATGTACAGTATGTGGGGAAAGTGGCATATGGGTCATTCCACAAAAAAGTGAACAATTGAGTCGAGTCACTGACAAACACATTTTGTGTACTATATGCATAGTTGTTTTGTAGCAGTTTTACCGATTTCTTTCATATTGTAGGATACTATGGTATAAAGCAGAGGAATAATATTAGTGAGAATTAGGCAAATATTACGCTAAAAAATGTGTGGGACTCTGACATGACTCATACTCGGTATGTTGACTATTGGTCGGTATCACTTTAGCTAAATAAGTAGACTAATTTGACTTGACGAGTGAGCACATGCACAGTAGACATTAAGATTATGTGACTTCTAGATCCAAATTTATGAATATTGCTGTAAGTAACATACAGAACATTTGGTCGGTTGCGGCGTACGCGTTCATGTATGATTGCCCCGGTTATTTAAATGTAAATTATATCTCAGGGAATTGAGTGAACCGTATCTTGTTTAAAACTGGCACCCATGTTTCCTGTTATTATTCGGCGTATCTCCAGTCTTGGCATACCCTTGAAAGTGTTATAGACGAGAGACCTTTCTTCCAAAGCATTATTTTATTATTATTTACACGTGTAAGTCACACCGTATATGTGTGCTACATGTATCTTTTCCTTCTATTTGAGCACTATATGTTATGCAATACACTTATTTTTAATTTTTTTTTGTTTGTTTTACAATCCCAGTTTATTTCTCTATATGAGTTAAGCTACCCGAAACCCAAGTTCTGATGGAATGTCTTCTGTAATTCTTAGATATTTAGCACCCTGACTATACTTTCTATTCTCTTTTCCTCAAACATTTACCTAAACAAATGGCCATGAGATAACTTACATTTTTTCGATAACTTGACCTTTCTGCATTTGATTTGCATTGATAAAGAGAAAGCAAATGAAGTTCTGGTGCGAAAGAGAAAGAGCATGTGAAAAGCAAGGGAGATACTGCAAATATCTTCCTGCAGTCAATAATTAGCACCCTGCAGTTTGCCAAGGTGATCGAGTTCACTCCTAAACGTTGTTATACAAGTAACATAATAAGTAATGCCCTGCTAATCGTCCGTCTAAAATGGACGATCTAGGAGTGTCCGCTGTTGATTGAAATTCAAGGTATGCTAAGAATATAATAAAAAAAAAACAAATTATTTCTCAGGGTTTCACAAGAGGGATACAAATATCTATGAAAAATATAAAAACAATATCATAAAAAACATTTAATTTACATTCCTTAGGCAAAGATGAGTCATTTAGAATACTCGTTAGGTTCTTTTTAACAATGGAGAGTTGGATGTTCTACTAGTTGCTATTCTGAAAACAGCGTTTTTGCCTTTGTTGATTTGCTTATTACTGTGCAGTTTCTTGTAATTCCATTTGTCTTATTTCAGTTAAGAGATCGTTCTCGAGCCAAAAGGATGTCGTCTGCGTTGCCTCAGACGATTGTTGGCAGAGGTCAAACAGCGAGTCTCCCGCCATACCAGCACAGTAAGATAAGCTTCAAACCGTCCCCTCTGTCGCCAGCATTGGTGAAACAACCACGAAAGGTCGGTGAAGGATTTTCTCCCTTATTTGACGACGATGACGGGCACATAGCACCATCTGAGTCTTCCGAGGAAGAGGAAAAACAAGATCTTCCACAAACTTATTTAGGTTTAGCCGTCGTTGTATGCATATGTTTGAACTTTCCACTGGGACTCGCTGCTGTTGTCTCCTCCATGTTTTCGGCGCTCGAGTACAAAAATGGCGAAGATGAGAAAGGGAAAAGGAGGGCCAATATATCACTTGTTCTCAGTATGGTGGGAATGGTGATGACGATGGTGATTACGATATTGTTTTTGTACATGTGGACTTTGAGAAGCAAAGATCATGGACACGGCTAGCCCGTACATGTACATGTACTCCTAAACCTGCTTCACCTTAGAAATGCACATCGTTGTGTTTTGAAAATTATATTCTGTAAAGTGGCAGTGGAGATATCTGTGAAGCAAACATTTCTGAAACCATTCACAGAATTATTTCTGGTATTACAAATTGACACGAAGTCAATCTAGGGAGGATCAATTGCCTCTGCGTTTGGAGATGCAAAATATCAAGAATGTTTATTGCTTAAGCTGTGGGTGATGAAGCCCAGCATCGAGCACTAAACACGTACATCGTCTTCATTTCGCGATGCGCTATCGGGAATAACAAACACCTCTGCTGATTAAAGACATGAAGAGAATAAACCAAGTCTCTGTTAATCAATTAGCTCAATATTTTGATAGAAAATCAAATTTTCCTAAAGTTAGGTTTATTATTTAGATTCACCTCAGACTACGGAACTTGTAATGTACATTTCCTAAATAAACGAGGATATTAATTTCTGCACGTGGCACACGTAATTGAATAAATAAATTGACCCTTCTCTCTTTGAGATATTAAAACTCCTCAATAACATCAAGGTGTATGAGATACCTCCTTGATAGCATTGATTCATTTCTCCTTTGTAAGACGGTGATGGAAACTACATGTATTTTCATCACCACGGATCATTTTGATTAAAAACCCATGTCTCCGAATGATGTTTAGGTATATATGTTTAGGTATATATGTTCATGTATATAAGTATTTTAGCTTATAGGATTTAGGTGCAAATAAATGGCTAAAACGCACGTGTGGACACTTACACACAACAGCGTTTATTTTTTGGGTTATTATCTGAAATATTAACCCCAGGTGAAGCACCGACATGCGCGTGGGTTCCTCTTGAGCATTTTACTGCGGACGCTAAAGTCGCAGCATATAATCTTTAAACAGCAAAAAATATATTTTTTCTGGAAAACTATACTCTATCCTAAACTAATAGTAAAATCAGATTCTGAGTTCTAAGTTTCTGATATATGACCCAAAGAAGATGAATAGTCATTGCACTCGTGACCATGAAATTAGAAAGCTTAAAAATGCTACATAGATCGCCATTTTCTCCACGGAAAGGATAAACCTTGGTGATGACTGGGAAATTGTTTCTGTACAAGTCTAACGCACTTTATTGCCTTTAACTGACGTCACCGAAGTTGAACAGAGTGAAAAAACCTCTTTGGCCTTTATTTGTGCTACGCCCAATTAACATCAAGCTGAAAAACATAACATTTGGATAACTGGCAATTATTCAATAAACAATGTGTGATTACCTCATGGTTGAGATTGAATACAAGACACGTTCAAGTCATGTTTTGTATGAAGTTTGTATAAGCAGAATGCCTATCATGTCCGACCTAGACTTATTTATGACAAAGATTACTTGGCGACCAACCTTGTACGTTAGATTTCATGCGGCCAATCCGGTGATGTCAATCAGTCCAATTACGGTCTATGCTAGCCCTGATGTGATCGCACGTTGAGCCTCTTATAACTACGAAAACAGTACGTCTCCAAGAAAAACTACTGGATTTGTAAAAAAAAATGCACATGAGGTGTGTTATCCCGGTGGTAAACGATTGATATAAAAAACGGCACATTTTTTTTAACCTTATCTAAATACAACGTCGTTCTAATCCTCGCAATCTCTTAGTTTAAAATTTGCTTTCCTGCTGTTTTTGTGCGCAGTTCTTTACTAAAATGTCAAACAGAATTGTGTTACTCTGGCAACACTTTACCAACTTCACCTTACCTTCTGCGTAATACAAAAACGTTCTGCACTATATCCCCACGCTTTCTATGTTCAGCGTGTTCTGGGAAACGTTTTAGGAAGACGGAACCTAAACATGTAATTCAATAGTGACTTCAATAGTTTCTTTGTGTCGTCTTTGTCATGAAATTATCTTCCTTTATTCCATATTTTGCACGAACTTGCTGAATATACATGTATATATTTTAAATGCTATCGGTTTAAAAACGGCAACGTTTGGTAAAAACCCAAGTCCATTGGCAAAGCGGACAAGGCTCTAGCGTGAATCCATTCTTCGGCGCAGTCCAAAGCCTCGGGTTCAAAATCATCAAGAAACTTGTTGACGAAGAACTCTTTTCGTGTGACAAGGCGATGAAGGTCTCCAACGCCAAGAACGCACACGCCCCTCTGCCAGCGCCCATTGCAAGGGTCTACACCACCCCAGGCAGCCCATACCGCAAGCCAGGGTTTGTTATCTGGCTTTCCTGAAAAAAGAAAGAAATTTATATTATTGATAAAATGTTATACAATATGCCATAATGATGTATGCTTCATTTTGAGCAGATAAGCGGGAATGCCTCAGATGATAGTATAGACTGGGAGTACACCAGTATCTTAACGACATTAAATTAAACAAAAATTGGTAAACAGGGAGGTGGACTGTGGTGTGGATTTTTTCTTTTCGGTCTGTAAAAAAGTCTAGGGTTGGCTAAGGGCGGGGTCGTGCTGAAGTAGGCAGGGTGATATACATGTACATGTAACACCGTTTTTTATTCTTATTTTTATTTTCAAAAAAGCACCTGTTGAGGTGGAGCAGAGTTAGTCTTTTCTATTTTATACATACAGACATTTATATAAACATCACTTCATCACTCTGACTAACGAAACATATATTTGTTCCAAAAAACTCTGATTCATAACTAACCTGTGTATCCGCCTGGAGTGTTTAGTTGAGGGTTGATCTGGAGGTGGTGGAGGGTGGCCCAGTAGTGCTCGTCTGGGCTGTACGTATCACGTGACCAGTCAAGCAGCGCCCGGGCAGCGGGATCATTCAAAATATAGTCCACAAACGCCCTGCTAAATATACCATAAGCGCTTCCTCGAACAATACTGATGTTAAATGGAGGGTGGTCCTTTAATTTGTCAGTAATTTTAAGCTTCGTATTTCCGTTTTCATGCACCACCTCCCAACTTCTCCTGAATCTGTTCTTAACTAGTTCCAGTCGACTTCCTGTTATGCCTTCAATGTCGTTAGCACCATTGTATAGTTTCAATATCTCTACCATTTCTAAATTAGTTCTCAGCGGGAAAGACTGACTGGCCAAATTAATGTAATATTTCCACTTCTCTCGTCTATGCATGGCATCCCTCATACAGTTTAATTCTGCCTGCAACCGAGGAAAACCTGCATAAATAACATTTTCTAATTTTGATGCAAGAAATACGTTGTCAAAGCAACTGGCTATACTGCGCAAAGCCCGTTGAAGAATAATTGGGGATTTCGCGTCCACGTGTATACAATAAATATTTTGAGGTCTGTAAATAGCCCGCAGCAAACGCTCGGTCTGATGAGCATTTTTATATACTAAAATACTAAAGGCTATCGGAAAACTTTTTTCCAAGTCTGAAGAATTCATGATATATCCACGATTTTCTTGGAATTGAAGACAATTTCTTGTTAAATTAATAAAATCCACATCCGCGATAGCGCTGCGTTTTGGTGATATGGCAGCCATTTTGACTTTCTCAATTTCTCGTTTATCTCCCTCTAGTAACTTCCAGCAGCTTGGCCTTGGGTGTTTGTATTTCATGGTAGTATTTGATGTTAGAGCAATATGGCGATTTGCAAGATCTATTTGCTGACTAATTTCAAGTTTCTGCAGCTGGCTTTTGGTATATGCAATATCATCTCTCACTAAATCTTTCGTCATCTCAAAGGTAGCTTTAGATGTGAAATATATGGCTAGTACAAGAAAGGATCCCATGGAGTAACACCTTCGCCTTCGGGTAGACGCCATAACTTTCTGAAAATGATAAAACATATTTTGAATTCTGTTCTAATTGGTTCAGTCAAAGAGTTGAATTATGGCAAATGCAGGACCCACATTAAGGATTAAAATCACGTGGCATTACATTGATTCATGTTGTAACAGAAAAAGAAAATATTTTACATGGTTAATGTGTGTCGAATTTTGTGCACCAAGAAGTCGCCAAACCCAGACAAAAGACGTAAAACCTGAAGCAAAAACACCAATCACACGAGACGCCGTGAAACAGTGATGACGTAACGATCCCCCGTTTGAGGTAAGACTCTGACGTAACGGCGACCACTTTGCTCAGATTACAGCACTTCGCTTCTGGATTTTTCAATGCAAAGTAGAAACACATATATACGTCGTATAGCCCGCAAATCCAAAGTAGAAACACATATATACACCGTGTAACTCAATTAGAAGGACAAAATCCCTATGACACATAGAAACGACCGAAACACTGAGGCTCAGTTACGAGCCTACCAAGTACTTAATACAAAATAAAGGGAAAGGAGAGGAGGTGCAACCACTGTTAACATTCCATATGTAGGCTATCATGAACAATGTTATCATGGTTTGTACGTGATGTTGTCTTATGAGTCTTTGTTTACAGTATTTCATAATTATGTGTCGGAGATACAGAAATTCGTTCTAAATGCCTTAAAAAGATCATCCTACTCTTGTTTCTTGATTTATAAACCTTTCATCAGATACCAGAAAAGCAACAACACGCAATTGTTCATGAAAGTGGTGGCAATTTCCTGAAATACATTTAAAAATCATACATAGAATCAAATAGAAGAAAATAAAAGCTAACTTGTCCAGGAGACTATACTTATGACGACAAATGTCGGGACGCGCATATGGTACAATTAAGTTAAGTGACGCCCAGTTACCAGCATTTGTGAAGTATTTAATGCAGGTTATCATATTTTATTATACAGAAGCAAAGTAACATGATGTACTATGCATGCACAAAATTTTACATTTTCCTACTCAAGGTATTTTATTAACTAAACAATATGTTGCCTAACGTTTTTAAACCTGCCTCTTCGGTTTGTCCCAGTTCATGTTTGTTTTTGGAGTGAGTAACTATTTAAATTGTGCAGAACTATTCAAAGGGTGAGGCATGATAATAGGCTCATTGTCTGCATTGAAAAACTTCATGTATTATTATGTTGCTACTATCAGAACTGTATATACTGGTAGATGATGCTCACTTTTTAATTTTGAAAATTGGTATCGATAATTTTGCTCTTCTCTGTTTAAATAGTTACCCGCGTCTTTTATATGTATAAAAAAGTATAATCCAATCAATTCTTCCTGAACTGAGTGAACTTACACAGCACGTTGGCTGTGACAGCTGCCTGTGACTACGAAGGGTGACTGTTAATATCAGATAATGAATACTGCTAATAACTGCAACCCGCTCATTTACAACAACGATTAAGAGGGATGTGATCTTCCGGTTGGTAAAGCCAACGTTTAACTTACGATCCTGGTATAAGAATTCTTCTTTCTGTGAATTATTAATTCTAATATGTTTAACATTTATCTGCCCTCTTATTATTTGCCTCAAATTACACAGAGGTGTCGTTCCCACTGAAACCATCGTTTTAGGTAGATCAATCCAACTCCGCGGGGACTCTTGCTGAATGCAATCAGATTAACACGACTCCTTTTGTTTCAAACTTACTGGTATAATCACCAGCTTTTCCGTATATTACTCAAGGAGGCGTGTTTATCTGTTGATCTGATTGCATTCAGTGAGAGTCCCCTAGGAGTTGAGTCGATCTATGAGCCCAAAAATCAGGGGTAAATAAGAGAAAATATAAGCCTGCGGTAAATGTCTAGTGAAAAAATATACAATGTGTTAGCTGATGAAGAATATGGTGGTATCTATTGGTAATGGCGAGATTGAGATTCCCGTGCAAACTCGATATTTTACATGTGGAGAGATAGCAAATAAATGACCACTTTCAGTACGATTAAATAGCTCAGTATTCGACACACGTTTTCATTTCAGGTATTGCTGAGGATCTAACCTTACCATACTTATCAATATATGTGTTCTAGTCCTGTGGAGTCAGTATTTTGGCACGCTGGGTAGTTAATGTGTTGCCGCTCTCAAACAGGGAGTGTGGCCTTGGAAGTTTCAGCTGAAGCACAGTATACTCCATTTAAGTTAGTTATGTTTCCAGTGGATTATCATTAATATATGGAGCGTTTCTATTAAACCGTGATACTGGGCAAACAAGGGCAAGTTAATTGTTTGCCAACCACTCCTACTCTTACCCCTCCTAAATGTCAAGTTTAGACGAGCAAAGGGCGCGTGCAACTCAGTAACAGCGGCAGCATAGTTTTAATGGGAGACATTGTTGAGATATATGTATCATACCAAAATACTTTTGATAGAGGTAAATTTCATCATATGATAGGATCTTGTTTTTGTTGCTATTCTTTGACTTTTTTTCTAGTTGTTTTATCGGTGGTGTTGTTGTTATTTTCTTCTTTTTCTTCTTCTTCTCATTATTACTATTATTATTACTATTATAATTATTATTATTATTATTATTTTGAAGTAACTAAAATAATAAGAAGAGTAAATTGATTTTATCCATCCAATGAAAACTAATCGATAATACGCTTCCAGTTCTTCAAAAGCCATTTCGAAAAGTTAAACATAATAAGGTAGAAGGCATCTGGCAATTTTCGTCAGACTTTCGAGCCCACGGTGATAGTTATGGGTAAACAAGTTTTTTTTTTTTTTTTTTTTTTTTTTTTTTTGGCAATGGTACATTTTTTTTAAATTATTTTTTTTCAAAACACAATTAAAACACTTTATATTGCACATGAGCCGGTCGTAGTTTTCATTTTTGAAAAAAAAGTATGCTCATCATAAAATGATTAAAGAAAATTAATATCTTTTACCAAAAGGTTTAAATCTAGTTGGATTTTTTAAGTAAAAGAATGATGTAATACTCCACTTAGAAGAAAATTTTGAAAAAACCTTTAAAACGGCTCACCTTAATTATGTGCAATATTACCAAACTCCGGTTCGGTATTGATTACTTTCAGGCGCTCTTTTACTGGTCTAGGAGCAGTGTTTCTTTAAAGTGGGGTATTATCGACGGTCACATACGACTAAACTAACTCCAGATCAAATGACATCCCGTTTTGTCAACACTGTAAATAGCTGTATCGGCCTCGAGTGGATGTCACGTGACCTGCCCCTCCCTACACGCACCCATAAAAGGACGGCAGACGGGCGCTAGAACAGAAAAAATCTTGTTTTTATAATTTTCAGTAGTTGCTTGTTTGAAAAAAATCTTGTGACGAGAAAATCATAAGTTGAAACTCCCAGCCACGACCGTAGCTATGTTCGATTTCATGGTATTAAAATTTTTCTCGGATCTCGCCTCCACCAATAAAACGCACAGCTTCAGCAAAGCGGAATAACAACGCTGACTGCTATTCTTTCTCCTCTATCGCAATCTGTTTTCTGGTTAAGGGAACTAATGCTCACGTATACCGATTATTATTATTATTATTATTATTATTATTATTATTATTATTATTATTATTAATGTTTTGCAGCATTTTCTTGGCCAACGGGGTATGGCCCATATGAAAATGAATTGAATAATAGTGTGCTCTCTCTCTCTCTCTCTCTCTCTCTCATGAAAGTGTTATTTCACATTACCTTTTATAATTTGCATTGTTTAATTTTTCCAACGGCGTGATGACAACTTATTTTTTTTAATGGCCAGCTTTATTTCCACGAGTTAAATTGCAAGCTTAATTCCCACGTGTCTTCACAACAACTTACATGTAGATATCTTAAATTCCAAAGGATTATCAGTAATGTAATCATTGCATCTATTAACTTCTTCTATTACATCATAAACATCATCTATAACAAAAGTTAACTGAATTTCCAGAGAACTTTCAACGATATCAACCATCCCAAATATATTATATTATGTAACTGGCGGACAAATGACTTATGTGGTCGGTATAGCTTAGAGACTACCCAACGAAGCTTTGTCTAAGAGCGAAACTGTATTATTAACATTCATTAACATAATAAAGATAAAGAGCCTGTCGTGCAGTACATACTGTGGTATGTATACAGTACTGGGCAAGCTGAGTCTGTGGAATTATACCTACATTAAATTAGCGCCATATAATGCAATGTACTTGTCTGTAGAGTTTTCTTGGTTTCTGGGTGAAATAAAGCAATCATTTTTAACCGTGTAGAGGAATCGCTAATGAGATGGGGGTGGAACATGTAACACGGCAATGCACGTAGTGAAACTAAAAACATTCGATGCATCAGCAAAGTGTTAAAAATTCACAGGATTAAAGCATTTACATATGAATCACATAAATGCAAGGTCACACTGCGGCTAAGCCCATTAGGATAAAAAAATGTCAGCTTAAGCTTAGAAAATCTTTAATAAATGACAGGTGAACGAGATAGTAAAGCCCTGACAAAATGCCAAGATATTGATCCGTTCACCAATTTCGAGATGTAAACCTGATTCATGTGTGAATGCATGATGCACATTTATTTCGCAAGATGTTTTTCAAGAAAGTGCTCATTGTAATCAACTTATTAGGAAAAGGTTAAAGTTCCTTGTTTTTTATTTACAATTAAGGACACAGCGACAGCATGTGATTGGTTGGTCGGATTAAGATGCAAAATGCGATTTAATAAAAAAAAGTCGGATACAAAAGAAGCATTTCTGAAGACAAATAATGGCACGCTACTGGCACAGGTATAAAGTACATTTACAGATATTTACCACACTGTAGCACACTGTACCCAATACTTTTACAAAACGTTTTATGCGTGTGGAGTATAATTTAGTCAACGATTTTGGGTAGGGTATTCCTTAGTAATAAGAAAAAATGCTGAAATTTCCAGGAAAGTGCATTTTTGCTAAATAAACGTTGCATGCTTTTAAGAATCCCCTTGGTATTTTAGCAGTTTCGTGCCAAAGACACGGGGCCTCCTAATGTAGTATATTTAGTTTACAATGTCAGAAGTAGCATTAGCGGTGTTGGAATAAAGATATCTTCAGTCCAAACTCGTGTTGTTTTAAACTGAGAACATGTAAAGTATATTGGCTCTTATTTAGATTTTAGTGCTCAAGGGAAAAGCTCTAGTTCGCCACGTACAGCTACTTATAATATATTTTGGATGAAACCCCCAGTCGTTATTTCCAAAATTATTTGTGTAACACCTACCAGTGAACGAGGAGCATTTTTTTTTAAATCCAAAGCGTGATGATGCATCTACGTTATAAGACTTGTTTTGTTAAAGTTTTTGTCCTTAAATCAAAAAATCTGAAAATGAATCGACATGTTTATTCCCGACACGTAAAAATATCAAGTCGTATACTAGTACCGGAGCATAGCAAGCTTTATATAATGTATGCCAGTACAATACATCATTAAGACGCGCAAAGAGAAATAATCCCTTAAATAAACGCTTCGGAAACGAGAGAGCTTCAGGGAAAGAAGGTGGAAATCTGTCTAATTACGATATCACATGAAGACAGTAAGACATCAATTCTTGACAACCTGTCATGTGGTGACGTAAGTAGTCAGTCCAAACTTATGGTGTGATTCAGTGCATTAATCAATTAATTAATTTATTTATTTATTTACTTCTTGGCCTCTTGAATAACTATTTATTTCTAAAGTTAGTTAATTAGTTAGTTAGTTACATGTAGTTAGATAGTTATCTATTTTGCGGTCTATTGAACTGTAATCTTTGATAAAACGGGCTGTGGGGAGGGGGCCGGCATGCATAACGAAATTGCAACTACTTGATCTGTGAAAAGAAGCTCCCTACAGCCATGTATTAAACATATATACATCAATTTCCATACTTCCTTTGCTCCCTCAGTTCTTATCTGCAAGATATATCGTTACACCTCCAGCACTTGGGTAACCAATTACCACCAGACATTGTAATTAAATCTATCCTAAAGACCTGGGGAAACAGTATACGCTGTTATCTTCAGCATTTCATACCTGCCAGATTCATATCTTTGAACAACATATACGTCCGTTGACGAAATCTCTCATTATTAATTTAGTTCCATGCAAAGCATTGCTGTCTGACCTGACACAGTACTGAATGAATTTACAGTGAAGAAAAATATAGCATAAAGTGATAAGAGCAAAAATNCGGACCAAGGCTAAGTGTACATTCATATATCTGGACCGAAACTACAATCGACTTAACATATCCGTCTAAAGGACTTTCCTCAACAAACATACCTGGAAGTAGTATTTGATAATTTTGAAAAAAAAGACAATTAATACATAATTATTCTTCAAGCTGTATTTAAGAAAATAGCTAAGAATGCACTAAAGTGACCTTATGTTACTGAAGATGAACGTGTAGTTCACATGTTAGTGTATGTATTTGCACAAACACAGAATGAGTAATTTTCACTTTATGAATATCCCGCAATAATCACTGCAATCGATAAGCAAGATAACAGTCATTGTTTTCTCTGTCCATGTTAAATAAATGCCTTTTAATTTCCTGTAATTATGAAATGATGCAGTCTTTTTTCGACGCTCCTTTTGGAATCTTAATTTTAGTCCTTATAGGCTGTCCTTCCGTGTTGCATGTGGCACTGCCAGGGACAGTTGTCTCTTTTTTAAAATTGGGGAGTGCAAACACGCTATGGCTTCGTTTTTCTCTGCGGGGCATTTCGAATGCCAAAACTCCTAGGCTAAATTTTCGGCGTCCGCTTGGTTTGGTGGTCTCCATCAACTCTACATGATCATCGTGAGCAGGGGGCAGGGACTGCATGCTCGCTCGTCTTATTTTTAATAACTTGTCCAAATGCTGAGCTTCAGGAAGTTTCGCTTGACCAACGAGCATTTGGAAGATATCTAGAATCCCTGTATTTTCTTTTGCTGACACTTGGATGTGAAAGGTTTGTAATCCCTCACTTTCCACCCAGTTTCGCACAGTCTCCTCCTCAATCTCCCTATCGTTCTCTGTGATATCGCTTTTATTTCCTGATATACAGATAGGAATATCTTGGTAGTTTTCTCTTTGTTCTTTAATTTGTTCCCAGATGTGTTTTATCTCTTCAAACGAGTCACTGTTGTCATAAGCGTAGACAAGGAGAAAGGCGTCCGCTGTAGAGATGGACAAGCGTCTCATGGCTGGAAATGACCACGATCCAGCCGTGTCCAGAATGTCCACTTTGATTCTCGTCGATCCGATGATATATTCCTTGCAGTGCAGGTCCTCTATAGTCTCTTTATACTGCTCTGAGAACGACTCCTTGAGAAAGCGCGTTACTATGGAGGTCTTTCCGACTCTGCCCGAGCCAAGCACGACTAAACGCTGCCTACTCTCCGTGTACGCCATGGCCGCGACACGGTGTGAAGTGGAGAGAACGCGCAGTCGGCGTTTAACTAAGCACCTGACGGCGATATGTAAAAACTGAGCTCCTTTTATCAGAGCATCAGACTCGTGATCAGCTTACTTTGTGATGGCTCGTTCTAAATTAGCCAGTCTAAATTTCGCTACAGAACGTAACGGCTAACTCGATCAATCGACCAAACCTGTATCTGTTTCCACTCTAAGCTTGTCTTAAGTAAGTTAGGGGATGGCAATAAAACTTTAATTATCTTCTTTTGTTGTTATCATTTGGTGACATTCCACTTGACAAAACGATTTCACTGTTAGCACAAAGTAGCAACGCTGACGCGCATCAAGTGTTATTATCAAGTACAACAAAAACTCGAAGAGGGGGATTAATTCTTAATCGCAAATACACATTAACTTAGAGCTAAATGACGCTTCTAACAAATAACTCAATTCAAGTTAGGGATACGTTCTTTTGATAAAGATCCGTAGTTATTGCTTTAAAGTTATTACACGTCCAAACCGCTCGTCATTACCGAACAATTCTTAAGATGAAGATGAACCGCAACATCAAAAGACTTGATATGTTGTATACGTATATTGGCCGCGAATAGCAGAGAAATTAATGACTGTTTCGAAGTCATAAATCATAAGCGTCTATTTCTTTCGTAAATGGCAGTGGTTTTGTTTCCTAATAAAATAATCTAACTTAAAAATAGCAATACAAATAACGTGAAATAGTACAGTATTTAAACGTACTCGAAAGACGAGACTGTCGAATTAATGGAAGGAGTAATTTGTTTACTGGTAGTAAAAGTATGTATACTTCAGTTTTTTTCTTTTTAAAAGACTATCACTCACGTACGGTACATGTAATACTGTAGAAGGGATACTCGTACGAAACGTGCGCGAATTATAAATTTGGTTTCCAGTTTTTTTTTTCTCATAATTAAATTGCTCTCGGCACAAGAATGACACACCTATAAGAATATCAATGTTAATTAGGTATGAGGATGACAATGATGAATTAAGACGAACAAGTTGATTACTGTGGACCATTATTTCACTGTTTGTCAACCTTTGTATGATTAATTAGGCATTAATAATACCACAGGCAACGTGTTTCCATTACTTTAATCCTTCATCTAAATGTATTTCTCGTTAAAAAATTGAAATTGCCATTTTGACTAAAAAAACGGCCTTGTGGGGGGGGGGGGGCTCTATCACTTCAGATGCAAACAAGAGGTAATTACAAGCAAGAGCTAAAAAGCTCTTAGAATTGTCATTGACATCGTTTCGTGGATGTCTTTTTCAATCCGATAATGTCACTTTGCCTTGTTCCTAGGACGCAGTATATTGTGTCCTGGCTTGTTTCAAATGCGGAGCTTTAGAAATGGTCACGTAATACACAAGGATGTGGGGAAAAGAGCTTGGAAGATCGAGGGTAGTTCGATGTGCACTGATTGAGAAAAAAGAAAAGAGACGGCTACTGGTGGTTTAAACAAACTGGGTATTAATGCAACTATTACTTCTGACTGTCTGTCATTTCATGAATGGAAAAACTGTCTGGTTATTGTTGGTAAAATGATACCAGTATATGGTGACAGTCACGAGTTGATTGCTAACTACAGGGGTAAAATAATACGATAATCATAGACTTACATGTACTAAAAACGCTCAGCAAATTGTCAAGCTTTGAGGCACAAAACAGCGGATATATGACATTCATCATTTTTCAATATGCATAAACGTGATTATCTTAAATAAACACCAACAAAAAACCCATAATAATAGCATATTAAGCATCCTTATTACTAGACGTAGCGTTAAATGTAAACCGTCTCGGACTAAAACGTAATTTCCGATCGAGACTATTTGCTACATGTTCAATCCAGACACCTGTAATAAAACCTTATGGTATTCTAAAACGTGAATTATAAACCAAACGGCCGTAAAACGTGGCATTTACTGCTAAGTAGGACAATTTATGACAGAGAAATAAAGACGATTACCATAAAAAGCTTGGTACGGATATTTTATCTATGATTTTTTTCCTATAGACCACATACGGCACATGAGGGCCGTTCATACGTACAGTTTAATGAGCTAATATTTCCATCATCATCCATAATCCCTATATTTGCTAATGTAGTTCCGTCAGCTTTAAAATATTGTTGATATGCTTTTTTGTCCCAATCAAAAAACGACTTTTCGTGGCACTATCGGTCTTTTTCTGGTACTAATCGACCATCAGGCCAGTCTATTGAGAATCGCATTTATACAGACAAAAAACTGGTACATGCACTTGTTCCTTATACTCCTACCACTTTTATCAGTTAGCTTACTCAAGGAAATGGTAAAATTCTCATGTAACTATTTCAGTATTTGGAACTCTTGAATGTGCCTTTGAGACGTGGATATATAGAAATAATATACCTTGTGGTCTTGTTAAAGACAATATGAATTGAACATTGGGGCCTCTCACTTTGGAGCACCATCTACTCCAGACACAGCATTTACACAAATCACACTTTAATATTTTAGGCTGTGTTAAGAATAGACGTTACCAGCAGGATCGATCTATCTCAGGGGGATTCTCGTTAAGGCGAAGTTTAAACTGTAATGAACTTCGATTGTCTGGCACGCTTCCCCGTAACTCACAGTACTTGGGTGAAGTCGGGAAAACTTTTTGGTCCATGATATTGTTCACGTCGCTTTGCGAGGGGGCGTGCCAGACAATTAAGTTGATTACATTCACTGCCTAAGCGAGAATCCCGGATGAGGTAGATCGTTCTTGTTAGTACGATAGCTTCTGTTCTGAACACAGCTTTAGCTGATCAACAAGTGTATAAAGCCCTAGTGTGCCTGTGTACAAAAGCAACCACACTAGGGTTTACGGTTGTAATGAGCAATTTTGAAAGGATCTGGTAGACAGTCTCAGGAAAATGAGTTGAAAAGAATAAAAAAAATTATTTATGGTTCTTGCGTTTACACCTGATGGCAATAAGATAAGTAAAATGAGCTTGTGAGCTGGCGTAGTGGCCTACTTCGATTATTTTCCAACAGCAGCCTCTTTCCACAACACAAATACTGTGAAGCAACTTCTTGTCTATTCCTACCTTGCTCTCGATCTCTCTCAATTGATATCAGATATAAGAAGTATGTTGAGACTAACACAAAGTCGATTAAAAAATTTATTAATTTTTAACTTAAAAAAAATGATTGACCGTAGAGAAGGGTGTGTATCCCTCGGCAGTGGAAGGGGTTGCGGCAACACATTTTGAGAACCAATTCTCTTGTTTTTTATCCATTATTTATGATGCTATACACACTAGATTAGACGCGAGAGCTATTAGCGCAAGCGACCTTGCAATGAATCTGGGAAGAAATTGGTGTTCTCTTCATTGAAGTTCTGTCTAAATGCAGGCAGCGATCTTCAGCGTCGTATTCGTGTCATTATCTCTGTCTGGTTTGTCACAAATCCTACATATATATATATGTCTCATATACAATAATGCCAAACACGTATTAGTCGTAAATCACCATGATTTCATATCAATTGTTTTCCCGCCCATAAGGTTACCGGCCAATGGCAATAACATTGGATTCTATTATGTAGTGTTTTATTCAATGTGAGTAATTTATAACCTTTCAAATTGTTAAATAAAAAATAATACTTCATGAGGGACATTTTTCATTAAAAAAAGTGTTCTCGAGCAAAACTTCAACAAAATTAATATTTGATTAAATAATGATATAATTGGGCAAGCTGTGCAAGATGACCACATGTATTTGTATTGGCTTTGATTTACGGTGTAAGTAGCAATATCGTAATTGATAATTTTTCTCCTGCGGCTTTCTTTCATAGGAAATGCTGCCCTTAATTAAGAACGCTATTAAGTGACCATCTGCTTAACGCACGCACATAGGTGGCTACGAGAGAACGCTGTGGAGCAACGTTTGATGAGAAGGGCAGGGACAAACATTGGCAGTTATGGGCAAACACACTGCCGGACAGTGCAAATATATAATCAACAATTGTTTTAGGAAAAAGACGACAGAAAAACGCCATCTGGTCATTATACGTACAATTTTGCGGGGCATTGCGCGGTATGCGGCCAATTACGTTTATCAGTGATTGGCATTTGAACTTTTTTGATCTGCCCACATTATTATTACTAAACTGATAACAAGGAAAGGGGAAGGAGACAGCAGGAAGTTTCATAAAAAATATAGAAGCCAATTTATTAATCCTTTCCCAATGGAATATCATTTTTTACTCAGCGTAGAGCAGTCACAGCAGCATTTGTCTACTAGTATACAAACCAGCTAAAGTTGATACATGGACAGATACGTTTTCACAATATACAGATGGAAAAGTGACAAAGCATACCACTCAAAAGAAGTTAGGGAGCACTTAGAAAAAAAATATTTAAAAAGTACGTTAACTATTCAATAACTAAAAACGTAAAAATAATAATTGCCAATCATCTTGGGCTTCACTCTCAAGTATAAATATGCAAATGAATTTTAAAAGAAGGGGGTGGTTAAAAAGTTGAATCACAGTTCTAAGAGTTTAATTTTTCAGTATCAAAAGGGTGTCTGTCTCTCGAAACCACACAGGCATCACAATGCTTTCCCATGAAATCAGGTTAACTGAAAAACACGCCTCCTTGAGCAGCCAGAGGGTGATTAACTTTCACGTGCACAACCTTCTTTTTGCTCGAGGAGGCATGTCATTCAGTTAATCTGATTGCATTCAGTGAGAGTCCCTGCGGAGTTGGATCGATCTACGAAGAACGATGGTTTGACTGGGAATGCGCCCTGATATTACCAAGACTGGGTTCCCATCCCTAGATCGATCTAACAGGATCGGTCCATCTCCACGGGGTCTCTCGCTAAATTGCTTTCAGCTGAAGTGGTTTAGACGTGTGGTACGATTATTAAAGCTCCTAAGTTAATTACCCTTTATCAGCTTCAGCAGGTGTGACAGGCATCTAAGCTGCCCAAGTTAATTGCAATTTTAACTGCAAGTGAGAATCCCCTCGGAGAAAGTTCGACCTAAAGTTAGTACGATAGTCTCGGGGAATGGTCTCCAAGACAAAACATTGTCAAGAACGTGAACGAGTATTCTTCCTCGCTTTTACTACATTTCCTTTCTTTTCCTAGTGGGACGGTTACCTGCAGGGCCCATACAAGTGCTAGT